CACTGAGCCCCTGTAATGGTCCAGTGCTCACATGTGGTACAGAGGATTTCAATTATATATTTGTTTTGTCATATTCTTCCTACAGCTCTGAAAAAAAAAAGACAAATGGTGCAGTGGTGGTTTCATTGTGATTGCACACCTTACCTTTGGGCTCTTAACAAACTGATGAATGCTCAAACAGGAGAAGTGAAAGACTTTTCCCATTCCCCTCTCCCTCTGGGAATGATGCACTGTTTTTCATCCTGCCAACATTCCCTGCCATTTTAAACCATGTTTTTTCTCACAAAGCCATTTATTTTCAAATGAAGTCCCAGACAAACAAAGCAGTGATTGTTGTGTGTACCATGACACTGTTGAGGCCTGGCATTTACACTTCAAAGTCAAACATGGAAAAGAGGATTGCTTTAATGATTTCAATAAACGCTTTATTAATAGAACACAAAGGACTGGTAACATTGTGAAGAGAGGCTAAAGTGAACTCAAAATTAAAATATTGGATGTCAGTTTCACACAATTTAGCAAATTAGGAAATAGATTTTATTTAAAGGTGGGTAAAAGCAACCTGCCTGTCTCCATGGCAATGTTCCTGCTTTACCTAGAATGTTCCACAATATGGTGTTAAACTATTTATCCAAAAGCATTCTTAATTTTTATAGTTTAAAAAATACTTGACCCAGGAGATAGACAAGTTTAATGCCGTACTAGGCGACAGTAGCTCAGTGTTTGCCACTGATCCGAAGATAAGCAGTGAGATTCCAGCACAGATGAATGCTGTTCTTGTGTCCTTGGGCAAGACTCTAATCCCACCTTGCCCTTAGTGTCTGTCTACATTATTGCATGATTGTGTGTGTGAATGGGTGAATGGTGCTATATAAAAATGTGTCTCTTTACCATTTACTGTTGATATAGCAATACTCAGGTTGTGTTATCATGTTTATCATTGAATTTATGATTCTATGATTATGGCGTGTACTGCATGTCTCATGTCTCACATAAAAAATATGGTGTAAGTATGTGTCACTTTTCTTTAAACTGTCTGAGGAGATTAGCTGCACACTAAGGAAGAATGAAGAGGAAGAAAACCATTGACACTCTCACCAGACCTCGACAAATCCATAAGTGTGTGAACTCCACTCTCAAATGTCAGCATGTCAATCAATATCACAAACCTCAGGGAGTCATGTGACAGTGTGAGCCAATCAGAACGCTTCTGTTGCCATGACTTTATTCTTGTAAAGATCTATTGCACAGACAGGGACAGTTCTGACAAGTATCAAAGTCCAGTACAATGGAGATCGAACATTCATGAGACTATTAACAATTTCATAGATCCGTAAAAAGAAAATAAATGTTTGTACAGTTTTCTCTTGTAATAAATCTATAGACATGATTTATGTGTGGGAACTAATAAGGCAACAAATAAAATACTGATTCCTATATTACTCTCCTTTGTGGTACCACATTTTCAGAACCACTACTTCAGATAACAGAACATGTGTCTCTTGTACTTGAATCAAAAATAGATCCATCTTATAATATACTATGAAATCGAATGACAAGACAATCATGGCGGTGAGTTGTTGTGCGCTGCAGCACATCTTAAAGTGCAAAATGGAAACCAAAATATTCACTAAAAGATTGTGTGTGGTTTTTTTGTTTGTTTTTTTCATGTATCCAGTAGAGAGCTGACACTTTTGACAAATGGTCCAGGCGCTTCAGGTAATCACTATCCTGCCTGACTGTGGAGATATCTGGTCCCATTTGGTCTGAAGGTGTCAGCTCTGTACAGTCCATGTCACAGTAGCTGCCAATACTGACCCACTTTCATATTCTGAGCCATTCATTGATCCTGTACATGGTGTCCTTATATGGGTATTCTGGCATTATGTTTTTTACAAGAGCTGTAAGCTGTTTACAAGCAGCTTGCTTGATGAATGATTATTAACCAAACTAGCTCATTAAGTTTTGGTTCAAATTAAAACATGCCAATTTTATAAAGGTTCAGGATCAAATTAATTTATTGGCGCCACTTTTGTCAAACCCTCCACAGCTTCGGTTATAGGAGGTATTCACATTTGTATAATCTTGACAAATGATCAACAGTTGTAACACTAAATAAATTAAAGACAGTAATTGACATTAAAGTGGCACTAAAATAGTGTTATTGCAATTTACACCATTTGGTCTATGCTTCTGCTGAGCGATAATCCATTAGGCCTTGTGAAATAGGTTTTGTATTGCCAAAGCAGTGCCAATTGGCAAAGCAGGACTCTTCATTTAAAAAGTGCTAAAATTTAAAGATCCTAATATTTGAAAGGACGTGGTATATTTTGATCTAGTTCATAGGATGTGTATTTCACGTACACTTATTGCTCTATAGCAGCATAACCTGACAAAAATAAGTACAGTACAAACGGTACGGTTCAATACAACAAAGTAGAAACAACTGCTTATTCCCCAAAGAAATGAAAAAACAAACACAAGTCATTCTGTGGTCAGTCAATACAAACTCTAATCATGAGCTATCATGTATCTCAACAAACAACAAATCTGAACATTTCTTATTTTTAGTTTTCCAATGCTGTTTACATTCCTTGAAAGAAGGTACATGTTTTACTAAAAATGAAAGATGCTACATAATTCCATCCTTCTCTCATGATATCTCTGTGTTTGGGGAAGTATTATTAAGCTCAATGACCAACTACTTTGTAATTTTTTTGAAACAAATAATGGTAGATCATTTTTGGATTTTTGGAAGTAAAGCTATAAGATAATGTATGTATGCATGTATGTATGTATGTAAATATGTACGTACATATGTACGTATGAATGTATGTATGTATGTATCTATGTATGTATCTATGTATGTATCTATGTATGTATAACGGTATTATTAGTGACATGCAAATATGTCTCCTGGATTCCAAAACATTAGTTTTTGTCTTTTTGAACTCCTGCAGCCAAAGTAAGCACTGCAAGATTCTTGTGTGAGTTCAAAACTCAAAAATCATATCACGCTGCATTGTTTTCTTTCAAAGATTTTACTTAGATATTACTATTAGAACAATGCTGAAATTGTAAACAGCACCGGATATTGCAACGTTGTGTGTGAAACTAAGCACATGCTACAAAATGCATACACATGCCAGGGTAGAACTGAGCATTCTACTTCAAAAAATCCAAAATATCTCAAATTTTAATTATGACAGTCCAATTGTTCAGGAGCACATTTCAGCTCAGGCCCTCATGCTCCTCATGCAGTTGTACGCTTGTGGTGATGCTAACCCTGTACAACACAGTTTGTCACAGTTGTCATTAAGTTATTAAAACAGTTGTGTTACACAGTCATAATGGTAAATACACTGAGAGGAACATTTACAGAGACAACATTTGAAACAGTTTAAATCCATGCACGTGTTCATGCATAGATGACTGTCTGGTGTGGAGAGGGGGGCAGAGTCTCATGGTCAGCGTTGGGCTCATAGAAAAGCACAGCTGTATTCTCCATTCACCCCCACCGCATCCAAGACCTCCCTCATCTTAGAGCCTTCCCTGCCTATTGTGGCTCATGGTGCTTTTTGAACAATGCTGCACCATACAACAACGCTTTTTGCTTCCACTGGGAATGTTTTTCTCTTTTTTTATAACAACAATATTTCACAGCTTTCTTTTCATTGCAGAATAACCATATGGCACACATACAAAACGGGACAGGCACATCACTTCTCTTCTATAGCTGCCACTGTATTGTACTGCAGCACTGCTCAAACACACCCATGGAATACAAAAGAATGTTTCCACCAAGTAGTTCACAATGGTATAGGCGATTTGCTCATATTTTCTTGATATACTTACTGGCTAAACCTCTCCACAAAATGGTAGGTAGTAAATGACAGTGACAAGGTTAGGGTTCAGAAAACACATGTATCTTTTCTATTAAGTTATCTTAGTTTGTTTTGTGGCACAGACAAAATTCATCACAGTGTTAAGTTGTGACCACAGCATTGACTCTATGTGCCAGTGTCAAACCTGGAAAAAAGAATATTTCAGTAACATGCCACCACCAACCAGAGGCTAACAGTGTTATTTATTTTTTTACATAATGAAGACTTACAGGCAACAGACAGACAAGCACTACCAAGCATTAACACTGATGAAAGAAAGATTTATTGCAAGTATTTCAAACCGAACCAAATATTTTCCCTTTGTTAGTGACCAGTGGACCAGTAGCAAAATACCTAAATCTCAAGTCTTCTCCCTCCCCCCATAAAAAAACAAAACAAACAAACAAACAAACAAAAAAACTGTGTAAATGTATGAAATACATACATAGTTCATATTTTTTATTTCATCAACACGTATGTTTTTGGATCAGTTCAAAGTTGAAGTAGAGCCTATGTAGACCCAAGTAAAATTCTTTATAATACAGAAGATTCAATACATTTAAATATCTTTTGGATCAGTGGCTGCGGTTACATGCACATCAAAATCTGATTAATATCTGATTTTTAGACCTTTAAAATCACTTAAATGACATGCAAACTAAAATTTGATGTGAGAAATTTGATGATTTTATAGTTTACATTTCATTTTGTTATTTGTTTTTAATCTTTATTAATCGGAAAATAATCAAATTTTGCGTGTGCATGTAACCGCAGCCAATGTCGTGATACTTGTCATAGTATTGATATCAAATCAAAACATAAATCCCTAGTATCGACCCTCACTACTTGGTGGAAACAATGCCTGAAAATTCCATACAATAAACAATGATATGTATAATTAGATAATCACATCACATCACACTCTTTATGAGGTCTCGAAATCCTTGAAGCGTCTCCTTTCACTGATAAACTTATGCATGTGTAGCGTCCTTGCTTATTGAGTCCACAGTTCTGCGTCCGTGTGATTGTCTGTAGTGATCATTTGTTTTGCTTCAGTCGTTCGTCTGCTGGTCCTCGGAGCAGATGAAGCTCAGGCCAGGGGTGCAGTTCTGGCTCTTATTTCATGCCACTCCGCAGCACCTGATTGGCCGCTATAAGCATGACGCTGATGATAAAGGCGATGGCGAACGCACAAATGAGACTCTTACGCACACAGGTCTGCTTCACCTGCTGCGTCGGGCTTGAACCTGTCGAACAAAAGAAAATATGAGCCAATGTATAAAGAGAAACTTTGAATAGCAGCCTCAACAAACCACACATTTGTTTTAAGGCATGGTAAAAATTTATCTATTCAAAATTGTGATTGTTTGTCAGTTGGTCCCAATAAAATTAAGTAGGTTTATGCTTCTAAACAAATATATATTTTAAGGATTATGTAACAGGCAATTCCAACGTCAAGTAGAGTTAGTTTAAAAACAAAAGCTTTGTTTTATTGGATTCTAAAAAAGAAACAGTTAATAACTACACCATAATTAGCCCTTAATAAAGCTTGATTACAGTCTTAATTCATACTGACCAAATATCTCATTAGAATTATTTAGGTATAGTAACAACTTCATGAATGCTTTCTCTAACTTTTTTGGTGGTGGCTCTGCCCTCTTGTTCAACCATATTTTGTTATAATGTCACATCATGTAATATAAATCCAAAATGTAATAGGATTGTCACAGGCTGAGCACCAGCGTGTAATGTCATAAATCATATTTAACATTATGCAGCCTGCGATCAAACAGGTCAACTCCAAAAACTAAAATGCCACAAATTGCATCTCTCAGATCCAGTTTGATGTAATAACAGATATCTGATAGTTTTCCAATGAAGGAGGAGCTCTTCTCAACTCTCATTGGGATCAAGAACACAATTACAAAAGAGACACTGTTGTTGTGGCTTGTTTTCACTTCTGTTCAGAGCGGAGCTGCACAGAGATTGAAACGCTGATTGAAGTTTTGGGACGACAAACAAACACACTGGCACCTGAGTGGAATAGTTAGAAAGAAATCATCAGCGATAGACTGCCAGGGGCAAAGCTAATAGACATTTGACAGAATATTTAGTTTTGAATCCAAAATTAAGACAACAAATGCAATCTTTGCTAATGTGCAAAAACACTTCAAACTATTACACAGGGGTGAGTTAAAAAGCTTGTCTTGGGTTTTGGATCACATGAGGATGTAGTAAGTGAAGAGGAGATAGTCATGCTGCAGTGACCTAATCTCTTTGTTGTTTTTATTTTTATAACATAACTTTCGTCCAAGTAAGACAAGGTTGTCCTGATTAAATACAATCAAACACAACACACAAACATACTTAACAGGAGCAAAGATAAAACTGTTTGCCCTGAGTAGGATCGAGTTGTTTTCACCTTGTCAGATGATCAACAAGGTAACATTTATTTTCAAAAATCAATAAAGACTTTAGCTACTCTGCAAAGTAATGCATAAAAATCTCCAGTTTTGAATCAGTTCTTGGGAAGCTAAATTACTTTTTTTTAAGCTTATACTTTACCACAGTCATTCCCAAAGTCTGCAGAACCTTGTCCCCCAATAATAATGCATACTCAGTTCAAAACAATATGCAGTGTTTTCCTCTCAAATGTACATGTGCACATCATAATGTCTATGGACTTAATACTGATTTAAAGTGTTTTTATTTATGCTTGTTGTGTGGAAAGCCTTTGCCCCCCCCCCCCCCCCCCCCTCTCCCCCCCAGCATGCATTTGATATTATTTTTACAACAATGTGTGGAAATGTGCTATGAATTTCACAGTTCAGAACATCAAATAAAACATCAAATAAAACATTGTTGATACTTTTACCACTACAGATGCATTTTATTTGTGTGACAGATGTTGCACTCCTAAAACCAGCTGTGTGTGATGGGAGTTTCCAATACCAAACTGTGACACGACTATCATATCATTCCCCCTAGTGGAGATGTGTATCATTACAATTTATAATAGTGTGTTTCCTTACTGTCTATATCCACCTGGCAGTCCTCAGGGTTCTCTATGTGGTTCTCCTCAGTCATGATGATGTTCTCGATGTCCTTCATGGAGAGGTGGTCACAAAAGGTGTCGTACAAAAGCCTCTTGAGCTCCTCCACAGTCAGCTTCTGCATATCACACTGTACGCACACACACACATACTGTTAGGTCGCTCTGACACAAGGGCTTATGGGTAATAAGCCACCTGGCTATTTATAAACGATAAAGAATGAAACTCGGGACCACTGCATATTTACCAAGTAGAGCCCCTGCTGTGGAGTCTTCAAAAGTATAGATCTGGACACAGTAATGAGGACGAATGGAGCCTATTAAGATTCTGAGGAAATCCGCAGTAACATGTAACAGAGGAAATGGGCCATTCCTGACAGTTGGACAAAACCTTGTAAATACATATACTGAGATGCTGTTATGAAATACTGTAGAGTTGTGCAATTACAATTATTATTCCTGTCCTAATTGATTACAAAAAATGTGCATTGGAGAAATAAAGATTATCAGCATCAAACTGGCTATACCCAATATATCTGTGTAGTTCAGATATATCCGATACATGTACAAGAAGCTGTGTCCTATCTGCATCTAGTTATAAAGGGTTAGTTGTTTTTAGCATTATCATGATGGATATCTAGCCTCAGAAAGTTGTGAAACATGCTTATAAATTCATTGTGGTGAATGTTTAGGTTGCTATAGGAACGCATAAGGTAAGTGAGAAATGTTTGGAGTTCTGCACATGCTGTAGAAATAGTTGTGTTTTTAAACTTTAAACTATTCAAACTCTTGTACATGTTTCCTTAAGTGCAAAAGTAGCTTACATGTTGTATCTTTATATTTGTAGAGTAGAGTGTTTGTCTGAATCACCCAATTTCATTTTATCTGTGGTCATGTTAAGTGTGCTGTTGCTTCAGGTTCTCAAAATATAAATAACTGTTTGAATAACTGCAATTTCAAATATTACTTAAATAATTGTGATTATTATCCATAATCATGCAGCTGTATATAATAGTATTTTGGGTTTGTTTATGATATAGAAAAAAAATCTGCTTAAAATTCTAAAAGTGTTTTGAGTTCTGCCAAGGAAAACAGCCTAACTTGTTCTTCTCTTCATCGCTTCCTACTCATAAATTTTATGTAGATTTTTTTTGGTAGGATAACCAGCTCTGTAAACCCTTTCTTTACAATCTGATGTATTGATTTGCTTCCATGCACCTTTAGACGCAAAGCTTTGAACACATACATGATCATCTCAATGTTATTTATCGAACTACTGTATACTTTCAAAAACAAGCAGACCATGCATAGGACACATCATCAGCCAAGGCACATTTCAGAACATCTATTGTCTTTAGGCAATGACATCCATCATTAGGTTTTACTTTGGTGAAATGACTATCCACAGGTGCTGCGTGTGACCTGAATACATCTCAGGTGTATTTTTCTCAGCATAACAGTCACTGCCTTGAGCCATAGCTTCACAAACACTGCTATAGAGGTCCTCTCATCTTTTCCAGTGTTTGCACATTTAGATTCAAAACACAGTAAGTTCACAATATGATCATAAAGTCTTGATGATGGTATGTTATGTTGGACAATATATTATGTCATGTGCTTATACTTCGTTTTATATTTAAATGGCTTATATTATGCTATTTTTGATCTTTGTTTCTCATCAAAAACATTCCCAGAGTTTTGTTGTTTTGTTTGTTTAACACACAATCCCTTCATATTCTGTGTTCCAAAAACACTCCACCTTCCACCTTGTGATGTCATGTGGTAATGCGAGATGTGCTTCTTTACAGCCATGGATTTGTCACTCTCTATTGAACAAAAGAGAAGGGGTAGCTGTCAACTTGGAAACTATTACTATATGACATCACAAGGTGGAACAGAGCATTCTGAGCTGTGGAGATGTAGATAGACTAATGATAAAGGATAAACAGGTGTGAATGAAACAAAACACAACTCAAGTGATGTTTTTGACAACATTCTACATAAGAGCGAATTTTGCGTAATACAGGATCTTCAAAAAGATGTAATTACCATTGTTGTATCAAAATAAGTATTGTGTATTAAAGCCTGTTCTGCAGTATTGAAATGGGGTTTGAATTTTCCGTATTGTGACAAAACTATTGTTATTTTTTTTCTGTCTTTTGCCATACTATCAGCAGCAATCACTTTGAACATGATAAAACATGTTGTACAAGCATGTATAAACACACGTGGTACCTCACCTAGGACCTTTAAATAACTCAACTTGGCAATAGAGTATGCCTGCAGGACCTCTCTCTCTGTTAGTGGAGATGCTGTAGTGTCCGTAGGCTCATTCTGATCAATGCTCTGTGTACACTTTGTACCACTTTGCTGTTATATAACTTTGTGTAAGACTAGAGTTCCCGAGGGAGCCTGACTCTCACAGCAGGTGTCTTCAGTTGTCTTTCTTTTTCCAACCGCGTGTTACTATAAATCGCACTTCACTTCAAACTAATATCTAATGACGTCGTATCATTGTCACATGGGAAATGCAAAGGTGACTTTCACTAGAGTGAAACTTACATAATACCACATATAAAAAGTAGCTTTTAATTGGTCTTAATAAAACATGGCAAATACTTAATTCATAATGAAAAAATAGCACTCCACTTCCACCGTATGATGCCATGAGGTAACACAAGTTTTTAAACTACATACACCTTCACTAGAATCATTTGGATGCCAGTGTGTACTGAACTAAAGGTAAAAGGTAGGTGTTGACTTGAAAACTACAGAGCCATGACTGGTGGAACAGAGATTGGAGATGTAGACAGACTAATAATAAAGGATTACTCAAACGTGTGAATTAAACAAAACACAATTCCAACTATGTTTTTGAGAAGGTAACAATATTCTAACATGGCTTAAAACTCTCAAGAGTCAGTTTTGTGCAATGTAGGACCTTTAAGAATAATTAAGTCTTAGTAACTAAAAGGTTTGGGTTAGGATTTAGAGTTACAACATTAATAGAGTAGTTACTAACCCTGAATCATTCTTAATAAACAATTTGCTCATTATGATTTAAGTTTTTGCTTTATTAAAATATGAAGTGTCGTTATTATAAAGTGTTTCTGAGTTTTTCTTTGTCTGATACCCTTCAAAATTCCTCTGTTTGTTTGTAGAATTTCTCACAATAGTTAAACCAAACATAATGTAAGATTTTTTAACAACAACACCTAATCTAATGCTTCCTCAAATGTGTTAAAGGTACATTTTGTAGCTTTTCTGTTGGGACAGTCTGCCACCTGCTGCTCTACGGAGATGTTATGGCTTTGCCTGGAATGGTTCACGGTATGGCAGTAACTCTATCTTGATTTAATGGTGCAATTTAACAACATGCTATTCATTCATTAAAGATATAATTAGATTGGCCGACCAGCTCCTGCTGTATTCTCACATAACAGCACTAGAGGCTATCTACATGTCTGTTGTTTGATAGTGTGCCAGATTTGACCTGACAGAAAAAGACCAGAGAGCACAGGTGAGCATGGACAAAGGACAGGTGAGGGGAGAGGGAACAAGTTTCTCATCTGCATCTACTGGCTACAAAAAGATCAAATAAAGTTAAAGACGGTAGCTTTAAGCACACCCATACTTGTATTAGTTAAAAATAAATGAACTGTTATATGACTTCAAAATTGGCCTGTGAGAATTGAAGCGGGAGGGATAATAACTCATGAAGTGTTCTATACTTTGGGGAGGACTACTAGATTAACATCCATCCTGTAATAACTTGGTGGATACAGTAATTAAAAGAAGTTTGGCTTAACCGTTGCACAAACACTTCTGCGTCTGGTGGTTTGCTGTGGGGCCTTCAGTGTCTGTCATTGCTAATAGGCACGAAATGAGAGAAATAAGCACCTTCCAGAAGACGGAGTCAAAGTCGGTGCCGTTGAACTTATCTGGCACCCCAGCCGTCAGTTTGGGTCCCAGGAGGGTGACGAACTCTTCAAAGTCAACCTGGCCATCGCCTGGGGTCAAAAGAGAAGAAGGGGGGAGACTTGTGAGCTTTGTGGATCAGTGACAATATGTGTGCATGGAAATGACTGAAGTTTTACGCACAAGTAACACCTCTCTGAACATTTTACAGTGGATAGTATTCTGATGCACCCATTAAAGGTCCTACATTACCTTATTTTCTGATCTATCTATCTGTCTATCTATCATAATGTTGTTTCCTCATCAAAAACATACCTGGAATTTTGTTTTATTTCATTCACACATTTAACACACATACTATTTAGGATGTTCCACATTGTGGTGTCATATAGTAATAAAGGAAGTGCTCCACTGTGTTTTTGGAATTGCCAATCTCCACTGAACAAAATATAAAAGGTAGCCGTTAACTTGAAAATGATCACTTTATAAGATCACAAGGTGGAACAAAGCATTTTGAACTTTGGAGATGTAGACAGACTAATAATAATAAAGGGTTACTCAAACATAAATGCAACAAAACACAAATCTGGGCATGTTTTTGATGAGGTAACACCATTATAACATGAGTTAAAGCTCACAAGTGTCAATTTTGAGTAATACAAGAGAAGAAAAGAATAACAGTCCAAGTGAAGTACTACTAGTGAAGTACTTCTGGTTCAGGTAGTCACAGTAGGTAGTCATAAAGCACATATTTGGCTTTATCCTTGATTCAGGCTGTGCAATCAATAGAAATGTGATTAGATTTAGACATTTCAAATGGTCACTTAGCTTTTTTAATTAAAAAAATAATAATAAAAAATGAAATTAATTAAAAAATGGCAGTAGTGGTCTAGTATGAGGCATATTTTATAGACATTTTTACCAGAGTTGGTGTTGAGTGAAGAAATTCTGTGTAGACTACAGAGTACATTTCCTGCCCATTGATTAATCATTAGTCATCTAAAAAGGGGGTGTGACAAAAGCACTCAAAACGATTACGTATCTCTTTGTATCTGACCCAAACTGCACTCACAAAACTACACCTGCAATGGAGTTCATGCAAAAACTAATTTATAATACACTGTATAGACCAAATCTCTGCCTAACACACTCACTTCTTTCTGCTGTTGTCCAAATGGAATGATTACTCTACAAATATTAATTTTGGTCGACTAAGACTCCATCAATCGACAAAAGGACTAAAGGTCTACAGCCTTACATGGGTGCACACCTGGAAACTAAAGCTGCATTGCTTTGCTTTTCTAGTGGAGAGTCCACCACAAGCTTTATTTTAATGGAGATGTGTTTGCTTGCTAGAATATTCCATGGTAGAGATTAAACCTCCACCTCAAGAGGGGTCAGATCTGTTAAGAGGCAACCCTATTCACAGAGAGAATTATTACATTTTTGAGCAACAGAAACACCCGTAGTGAATGAATGCTAGATGTGTTTAATGCGATACCATGGAACATTCTGGGCAAAGGAATAATATCTCCATGGAGACAATTAGGTGACAGATCCTCCACCAGAAACGTTGCGCAATGCACATTCAATATTATGCTGAGTTCAGGTCATGTGTGTTCTTACCATCCATGTCTAGTCTCTGGATGATGACTTCTAGCTCCACCTCATTTGGCATGTAGCCCAGAGAACGCATGGCCATCCCCAGCTCCTGCTTTGAGATGAACCCATTCCCATCCCGATCGAAGACCTTGAACGCCTCACGAATCTCTGCCGGGAAACACAACAAAAGACATTAGCTCTCCTAGAATGTAACAGGGATAACGGGAATGCTCCTTACACCATAGACGCATTTGTTATGTCACATCACAGCTCGCACCAAATCAGTCTAAACAAGCACTCCAGAAATGTCAGCAAATATTGAGGCAGAGACCAGGACAAATTGGCAATCACAATGCATTCATGTCTCTCAAATGGTATGCCAAAATACAACAGGCTGGAATAGGCTGTTAATGAGGTGAGTTTAGAAGGATTTACTATTCATTTAGGTGTGCGCGCTGTGGAATTCATGATCATTCTTAATCAGGCAGAAAGACTGGCCGGATGGCAAATACTTCATCAACCAAACCATGATTGTGAGGACTGAATAACAAGTCAAAGAGGAGTACCCAAATTAAATTCTGAACTAGCTTGCACTGGTGTGGTCTATGTAAACTTTTGAGAAGTTCCCATTATGTAACATTTCCTACTTTGTTTTTACTATTCCTGTAAACACAATAAGTGTTTTTTAGTATATCTGAGCAATAAAACACCTGTTAATTAATAAATATGTTTGCGTATAATGCCATACTGTGAAATATTCGAGGTAAAGCCACTTCTCCACACTGACCTATGAGAGTCACCTGGATCCATCCACTGATGGTTTGTCCTGTGTCCTCATGTGTCCTCTGAATCTTTTATTTTTTTTTTACTGGTAAGGTGACCTTGAGAGTCATGAAAGGTGGCATTAAATAAAGTGCATTATTATGATTATTATTATGATTATTATTATGATTATTATTATTATTATTATTATTAGTTCACATGCAAACTCTTCAGGCTCCTACTGATCCTGGCTCCTACTGACTTACACTGAAATATTGACGTCCCTCTCGCTGTAACTGCTGCTGTGAGTCTTGTCATTTTGGTCTTAAAATCTCCGTATTAATGCCTTCTATATGATCTTGGTGTTTTGTTTTTTGTTTTGTTTTGTTTGTTTGTTTTTTGTTCGTCAAAAATATCCTATTCATAATATAGAACCAGGATCCAAATTCGCTCCTGTAACTGTGAGCACTGAGCTTCATTTGAGTGGTGCCGAACGCTATCGGTGACATCACACTCACTTAGTCCACTTTCCAATACATCAAATACAACAAAATGTCACATAATTAAATAAAGAAATTCTTTATTTCATAAAAAGGAAGCTGCCATACCTCACCTCTGTACTAATTGAGCGGCAAATATAATATAAATTGTCTCGCACTATGACAACCCATGGGAGAGAGGCACAGGACTTCATTCACTGACCTTGTAGTATTTTAAAACAGCTTCAAATGATTTGTCGAGCTTCTGTGCTCTTGGCTTGAACCTGTTCTTGGGAATGCTCCAGATTTAAATTTGATTCAAGACCAGAAAAGTACATTTGGTGAATATAAGTCGTTCACAAATTCACTTTGGCAAAGAAAGTGGGAAGTTATTTTCAAATTAAACATTAAAGGAGTATTATATAACTAAGGCTTAAGTATAATGCTTTTTTAATATACTTTAGACAGCTATTCACAGTTCATTGAAATAACATTTAGTGGATTTCAACTGTCAGTCACTTCAGCTTTAAAGAAGATTTATTAGGAAAAATCGACTTTTCAGAGCTTGTAATATAGTTGGTCCCCTTCTCATTTCCTCTCTTGAAGTTGTACTTGGAGTGATTAGTGCATGTTTGAGCAAAATAGACGCCCATTGCTTAGTACTTACGTCATTCTCAAATTTTACTTTCTTAATCAGTGACAGACGTAGGATTCGACAGTGTCGCGTAGTCATTTTGGTACAAATGGAAAAAAAACATCCACTTCTTGCTGCGTAATGTGCAGCTATCCATCAGTGTTGCCGACTCTGTGTTGTGATGACGTTTACGGTGACGTCTGCTCCCATTAGCTACAACAGTTTACTCACACAGATACCAGCAGACTTGCTTCTTTTATTAAATAATTTTAGTTGAATACTGCAATTTAAAATGTGCAAATTATAACTGTGGGTGTCGTAGATTATACCTATATAGCAGACACAAGCACAATGTGTCTTCTTTTATCAAATCATTGGATGGTTAAAATATTTCCACAGTAGCCACACCAAAGACATCTAACCCTGACTACACATCATCCATTCAAGTATGTACTAAAATGATCATTGATGACTACGTATAGCTGTTATTTTATTTCTAATTCACACCTCCAAATAGTCAAATAACAACAGAAATAAATTCACTTGTTCCAAATAGAATGTTGTGAAAATACAGAATGTGCCAAGCCCAAAATGTCCTTGCACATGCATTTCTTATTTATATGCAACACATGATCGCTCCAATGACAGTGACAATAGTTGGAACACAAAGACCAGAGCCAGATAGCAAGATTGAGCACTGAGCACAGCAGGCACTAAGCTGCAGAAATACGAGTCCCTCCTCTATAATCTTTAACAGGCCAGGTGAAAGTGGAATAGGCTTAGTGTTATGGTTCTGGGCAGTTTGAGAGACTTTGAATGGCAGCTCCTAATAATAATGGACATTCACAGCTTTTTCTTGCCACCCTCCTTAAGTATGCAGAGTTAGTCCAAGTGTTCATTTACAAAGTTGGCCCTTACCGAATCACAAAATCCTTCCAGAACAATCACATTTGCATATTTGTAAAATGTACAAATCTGATTTTGTGGCTCAGAACACACTGAATAGAGACAGTGACACTAAAATAATTCATGTAATTTCTACCATTCAACTAAGCAATATTGAGCCTTAATACAAGCTTAAAGCAACAGTATGTAACTTTTCAATGTGGCATGTCACCTGCATCATTCCATGGAAATTTAAAGTTAAAACCAACATTCCCAGTGGAGATGTTTTTTTTTTTTTTTTTTTTTTTTTTTTTTTTTTCTGTATAATAAAAACAGCCAAAATGAAATAAGTCTGTTTTGGGGCTCAAAGGTTACATGCTGTGACTTTAATAATAGGACCCACATATTGAGGGCAATGTTTGAAGGCGACAGGTATTGAGCTGTCAGTCAAAGTAGTAGTAATGTGTAATTTAACTTAGAAATAAGACAAGGCTTTTTTTCCCCCTCAAACTGATTGGTCAAGATTTTCTGTTGTTTATTTTCTTTTCAATATTGATTTCATGAACATGACCACTTCAATCAGTGCCATAACCAGTGCAATTGCCAAATTTCTTCTTTCAAAGTCAGAACAAAACCACATACTTTAAAGGTGTATTACTATATTGTTGTTACCTCAGAAACATACCTAGAGTTGTGTTTTGTTTCATTCACCCATGTTTGAGTAGTCCTGCATTATTTGGCTGTTTACATCTCCCAAGCTCAAAATGCTTTGTTCCACGTTGTGATGTCATGAAGTGGTGGATTTCAAGTTAACAACCACCTTTTACCTAGCCAGACTGACGCCACCTGGTGCCTCCGCTCTATTTCATTTCTCTCCAGCGACTAGGTCAGGAATTGGAATACACTAGATGCTTCACAAAAACCCCAGAAGTGTGAGTTCAGGCACCAGCCAATCAGCAAAGAGTCATACATTCTGTGTTGGCAATGATTCCCGAGATCGAGGGTTTAAAGCCGGAAAAAAGATCATGTTTGGTGAAGTTTATCAAGGGGAAAGACGTTATTGCCCTTCTTCCTACGTGATTTGGGAAAAGCTTAATACACCAGTTCGCCTCATTTGCGGTGCATTACATACGTCATGACCAAATAGCAATGATTGGTTAAATGAAAAAAGTACCCGCCTACCGTCGAATGCACAAATTCTAATGCTGCGAGGTCAGAGGAATCAGGCTACCTTTTACAGTTCAGTAGAAAATGGCAATTCTAGGGCTGAAATCATCCAAATGATGTGAGTGAATGGATTTTATAAACGGAGCAGAGCACTTCCTGCATTACCACATGACATCACAACGTGGGAACAGAGTGTTTTCTGGTTTTAGAGAAGCACTCAGCCTACATATGCAGGATTTGTGTATTATGTATGAATGAAACAAATCACAACTGTGGATATGTTTATGAGGAGGAAAGAACATTATAACATAGATCAGAAAACAGTGTAACATGGGTCCTTCAAGTATTTACACATTGGCTTTTCAATAATTATTTGAATTGCTTATTCCATTAAAATGTGTTAAATGTCCTATTTAGGAAAACCACTATAAGTTAAATCTGGAGCCCAATACAATAAAACCCAGTGTAAGCACATAACAAAATCAGTTGTAATTTGAAACACTAAGCAAACTACTGTAGTGCATGCGCTTCAAATTCAGGCTCTTACAAATGTGAAATTCCCACTCTAGTGATTTACCAAAATGTCACAACAGAATGGTGACGCCTGGGGACCAAATCCTCTGTGCCACATTGTGTGACAAACTCTTCAGCGCTACAGAAAAAATTACCCACAATGCTTGAAAATGTGCTATTTCCTGTATTGTCAGCTATTGGCACGAATGCGGGAATGACTTAATGCACCCAAATAGCGTCTGAATAGGTCCACGGGGCGATCGCAATCTCTTGTTATGCAATCACATAAGCCATCGGAGTGACATGCTATCGTTCAAAATGACTTGCTGGAGGTAACGTTTCCGAGTCATTGAAATCCTTTGCGATGTTATTGTTTGTAAATAGCACCAGGACTCTATCCACCTGCGGTCCAAGACTCCACGTGCTATCTTAGGAAATATCAGCTCTCCTGCAGGATTCTATTGAGAAGAAAACACGGTGCACAGGAGGCGAGCAGCACACCCTTAAATCAGGTGCCCAAACAGTTTTAGCCCATGTTCGATCTCCCATTGCAAGCTTTATTTATCGATCAAAGGGCACAGTGAAATGCCTACAGCAAAGTGTATTATGGTATCAGCGGAAATGTGAAGTGTATAATAGAACATGGCCTCAACTGGTTTCCAAGAATTTCATAAGAGCTCCATTGATTGAATAACTTAACATTGTATATATATATAAAAAAATAAAAT